AATACTTCTGCAACTAATATATAAGGGATAATTTGTTCTAAATTGCCCTTTTATTCATTTTAGACGAATGCGTGAAGTTGGTAAAAGTCTTGGCATTCCGGTTTATGTATTTGGGCCAGAAACACACATGACAGCCATATGTGGAATGGCACTAGGAACAACACCAATCCCTAAAGAAAACAATGTTGAATTTGCTACTGCAAACTTTTTATTACCCAGTGGGCAAGAGCAAAGTTCTCCTGCTAATTCTCGCAAAGGATCTTTGAATGCTCCCCAAGTATCAGAACGTCAAATAAGTAAAATTGAAGTTGATGGGGTTAATGGAGACATGATCAAGCAAGCAATGTTTAGCAATAAGACCAAGGCTATTGTATGGGGCATGCAAACACGTGCAGTTCAGGTAAAAAGAACATAAATTTTCATTAGTGGAATTTAACTGTTTGCACTATTCATTAACAAGCAAATTGTTTTTTGTACAGAGTATGTTAGATTTTGATTTTGTTTGTCGGAGAAGTGAACCATCAGTAGTTGCTATGGTATATCCTTTTACTGGCGATCATAAACAAAAATGTTATTGGGGTCATAAAGAAATTTTAGTGCCAGGTATGTGATCACTACCAAATTTATCCAAATTTTTTTTAATCCTTATTTATATTTAATTTGTCAATTCAAATTTCAGTTTATAAAAAAATGGAAGATGCCATGACCAAACATCCTGATGCCGACGTGTTAGTTAATTTTGCTTCATTAAGATCAGCTTATGAAAGCACAATTGAAGCAATGAATTTCTCTCAAATTCGTACAATAGCAATAATAGCAGAGGGCATACCTGAAAATATGACAAGAAAGCTTATTAAGCTTGCTAATGAGAAAAAAGTTTCTATCATAGGACCGGCAACTGTAGGTGGAGTTAAACCTGGATGCTTCAAAATTGGAAACACTGGTGGAATGATGGATAATATTTTGCATTCAAAATTATATCGTCCTGGAAGGTATTACCCTAAAAATATAATAAATATATTCTTGATATTAAAAAAAAAAAATTATTACTTTCAGTGTTGCATATGTATCTCGATCCGGCGGCATGTCAAATGAATTAAACAATATTATATCGAAATCGACTGATGGTGTTTATGAAGGAGTCGCAATTGGTGGTGACAGATACCCTGGAACAAACTTTATGGACCACATTATGAGATATGAAGCTGACCCTAATATTAAAATGATTGTTTTACTAGGAGAAGTCGGTGGTGTGGAAGAATATGATGTTTGCGAAGCTTTGAAAGATGGAAGAATTTCAAAGCCTTTGGTTGCATGGTGTATAGGAACATGTGCTGGAATGTTCACATCTGAAGTTCAGTTTGGACACGCTGGTTCATGTGCTAATTCTGATAGAGAAACAGCATTGGCAAAAAATACTGCTTTGACAAAAGCAGGAGCACATATTCCTGCATCATTTGATACTTTAGGAGTAGTTATAAAGAAAGTTTTTGATAATTTAATAGTTGAAGGAAAAGTAATTCTTACAGATGAAGTTCCTCCACCAACAGTGCCTATGGACTACTCTTGGGCTAGAGTATGTTTATATTATTGTCATGGTAGCATATGGTAGACTGCATAATTTACTTTTTTACGATGTTGCAGGAACTTGGATTGATTAGAAAACCAGCCTCTTTCATGACTTCAATTTGTGATGAACGTGGACAAGAACTCCTTTATGCTGGAATGTCAATTAGTGATATATTGAATAAAAATGTAGGCCTAGGTGGAGTTGTTTCACTACTATGGTTTCAAAGATGTTTGCCCCCATATGTTTGTAAATTTTTTGAAATGTGTCTTATGGTGACTGCAGATCATGGACCAGCTGTTTCTGGTGCTCACAACACCATTGTCTGTGCTAGAGCAGGCAAAGATTTAGTATCTTCTGTTGTCAGCGGATTGTTAACAATTGTGAGTATTAAGTTAAAATACAACTATATTTATGAAACCTTGTTTTACAATATTTTTTTAGGGTGATCGATTTGGTGGTGCTCTTGATGGTGCTGCACGACAATTTTCAGAGGCCTATGACAGTGGGTTACATCCTATGGAATTTGTAAATACAATGAGGAAAACAGGACAGTTAATTATGGGTATAGGACATCGTGTAAAATCAATCAACAATCCTGATATGCGTGTGAAAATAATCAAAGACTTTGTCATGGAACATTTTCCTGCTAAACCACTTTTAACTTATGCTTTAGAAGTAGAGAAAATTACTACTAGCAAAAAACCTAATCTTATTTTAAATGTTGACGGTGTGATTGCAACAGCATTTGTTGATATGCTTCGAAATAGCGGTTCATTTACAAGGTATATTTAAAATCTATTTATCTAAAACAGTTCTAATTTACTAGATTGATACATATATGTATATATATATATATCTATATCGCGTTTCAGAGAGGAAGCACAAGAATATATAAACATTGGAGCTATCAACAGCTTGTTTGTACTTGGACGTAGTATTGGTTTTATTGGGCATTACATGGATCAAAAACGACTTAAACAAGGCCTATATCGTCATCCTTGGGATGATATCTCATATGTATTGCCTGAACAATATAATAATTAACTTTTATTTTAAATCGTGAAATTGACCAATATATTGCTTTTAATAACATTTTTTTAATATATACTTAAGGTAAACATAAAATTACTTCTTAAATTCCTAATATTATCAAGTTGACGATGATTAGCTATTATAATAATTTATTTTCATGTTATCAATGGATTAAATGTAAGAAATGTTAAATATATTTATGTTCTGATACTTTTATATTCGGTTTTATTCATGCCACTACTTTGATTGTAATTCTGATACATATAAATTTAAATTGACTTGAAATACATAAATATATTTTTAGAAACACTCTTTTTTTTTAGATCTTATACAAAAATGAATTGACATGTACTTATTACCAATATATTTTTATGAAAAAATGGGATATTTTCTTTAAATTTTTTTTTTTGAAGAATCAAGTATTATAATTGATATAGCACTTAAACTTTAAATATTACAAATTCAATATATAGATATATTTGCATAAACTTAAAAAGAAAACATTACATATATGTCCAGACTGCCACAATAACCTTATGCAAATCCTTCCCCCACGAAGTAATGCCTAACAGCGGCTTCTGTGGGGATCAGAGGCAAGAGCAAAGCGGAGGTTTTAGTCAGTATTATACCAGGGCGGTATTGAGTCCGACATACCCAGACAAAACACCAGACTGAAATGCATAAAATCATTTCCTTCGCTATATAAAAAAAACAAAAACTGCCATAATAACCTTAGAAGAATAGAAAATAAAAAAAGCAAACGAAAGAAAGTATTATTTACAGAAAAGTACAACTACATACTTAAGCTTTGGAACAGAGTTAGGATAAAAAATTGGATTATAAATTGAAAATATAAAATTAGGCATCTAATATAAATTGTATATTCTTTTATAATGTTCACATAAAATGTAAAGATGTCATTTATTTAAAAATTAAGATAAAAATGATAAAAAAACAATAAATTTGTAGATAACTGAACATATTTATTACTTAACATTTACTACGCGCATCCTTCATAAACAGCTTCAAAAACGATGGATTCTCAAAATAAACACATACATTCTATTGGACCTTTGGTAAAGTTGCTCGCGCTCCAAAATTTTAAAATACATTAAATATTTACACCAGGCCCTATTATCTCAGTACAAAATCCGCGTTCACAACGCGTAGTTCCAGTCACGACCGCTAGGCGCCAATTTGGCGCTAGTGAGCCGATGACAAGTTTGACAGGTTAGTAATTCACGAGCAATATGTACCAGAAATGTCAAAATTTTGTTTTGATTCTTATTGTGATTGTTGTGTTTACAAGTGTTTTATAATTGTTTATACGGTTTTATTTGTGATTCAAACAAAATCTATAACTCTTAAATGAAGAGGATATAAAGCAGTTGTTAAAGCAGTGTATATAATAAAAATTTAATCACAATACATTTTGGAAGCAAGCTAGGGGCTCTTTTATAAGAAAGGCAAGGCTCCTCTAACTTTTCAGAATTCTATTAAACTTTGGAGGCTCTGGAAAAGCATAAATAGACTAGACTTTACATTTTTTAGGAACGCCACTGAGTTAATGAACGAAATCCAATTGCCGTGCAAGATGATAAAATAAGTTAATTTAATGCAGCAGTTTTTTGAATATTCAAGATAAAATCAAGAGCCATTTAGCATGACTGGATTTATCGCAAAGAATGTGCTGAAAAGTGACAAATCTTACTTGGAATGATTATTAGTTAATAAAGTAATGCACAGACACTATAATTTAAACACCATGTTTTGTGTTCACAACATTATTGGTAGTGAATAATGAATGATTATCCACTTGAAGGCAGGAATCCTGTAATTCGTTAAACTTTTTATTTTTCCTTTTTTTTAAATAAATATGTTTGTTGCAACATATTGCTATTTACTTTGATATCTATTTTAATATATGTATTATTGTTTGGTATGTTTTGTTATTGTATAACAATGTCAATTATAAGACTATTGTAATGCAAAAATTTAAATACAAATAAATTATTTTTAAAATTGTCAATTTTCTTTTATTTCTAATTTTGGCGCTTTAATTTGAATGCATTTTGGAGCACGAGCGACATGCGATTAAAGCGCCATCACCCAACATTGCGGTCGTGACTTTCCCTAGCTCTCTGAACGCAAATACCGCGAGAGAGAAACGTCTATATTAGTATATTGTCTAGGATTTACACCTCCATAACATATTATGAGTTATTAGGGTAGATCGTCGGAGCTGTCATTATGACAGTTCTGTCGAATGAAGTTGTCCTCGTTCCACCGCCGGTACGCATCGCGTTTGGCCTTGTGTTGGCAATCGTCTGAGCAAGGACGTAACAAAACAGAATGCAAGTGCCCGATGTGTTTGGTTCTTTGGTTGTATTTGGTTGTATTGACGGTGCGACGGTGGCAATTCTGCACTCGAGTGACGTGAGTTTGCGGTGGAGATTAAGTGAATAAGATCGTAATAATAAATTTATCATATTTTAGACAAAATTATGATAAAAATATGTGGTCTCGTGCTAAAGTAATTTTAGTTGATATAATGTGTATAGTGAATTAGTGTACAATTGAATAAATATAAAAAATAATCTGTTTTATTAATACTGTAAGTGCACTCGTACTTATTTTGACGTTTGTTTTTAATAACAATCTCAACAAACCAATTGATTTTAGTTTCAGATGAGACGAAGTCGTGCATAAATCTCAGTATATAAGAAATATTCAATATATTTTATATGCTAAATAAAACGCAATAACGATGTATACTTAAATATTTTCTTACCAAAGGGGCATTTAGTTCAGCAAAATCAATAATCAATGCTAAACCAAATATTCAAATATTTAGCTAATTGAAAAGTTGTTATTGTAGTTTTTCTCATAGTAGACTAGACATATTATAAAAATTGAGCCCAAAAGACAAAATTCAAAATTGCACTGCAGGACATTTAAGAAAGTCAGCATAGGGCAAAATTTGTGTGAATTGGGTCAGACTGTGCAAAATCGCGAAGGCAGTCCTCGGAGGCCCCATGCGCTACAAAGAAATACACCAGCTTCGGCTGGTTATAATTCCCAGCTACCTAGTATGCGGATCACAGCTGGGAATACACCAGGGTAAGTGAAGCAGATTTAAACTTGCTCGATAATAAGCTATTGCTTGTATAATTTAGAATTTGGATGATCTTGTCGTGGATAAATCATCATACACAATGTCCACACCACTCGCTAGGATTTGCTGTGTGTTTGCATATATGTTGGCCTAACGTGTGTGCTTGCTGTTTATTCAAACAGATCTAATTAGTATATTTGAATACATCCTTAAATTCATATCAAATAGATTTTATAAAGTATATCTTGTTATTGTATTTCATTTTTATCGCTTGTCAGTTGCATTGTATTGTTTCAATATTAAATCGTATATAATAGTGTTAATTTTCAATAAAATCAAATAAATACTTAATAATAAAATTACTTTCAAAAGCATTTACAATTGTGAAAGTTTAATTTAATACAAACATTAATAGTTTTTACTCTTAAATTTTTCTTAAATATTCAGTGAAACTATATTTATAAAAAAATATTTTATTTATAAATAGAATATACAAGAGCCTATACGATTGATTTATTATTACTAATTTAAATATATATATATATATATATATATATATATATATACATACATACATACATACAAACATCTCCTCACAATCAAAGCAACTATTTATTTATTTATTTATTTTCATAACATGATCCTGATAAATTTTATCTTTGATTGAAATTCGACGCCTTTCGTTTTTTGTTTCAATTGATAAAACATACTACGAAATTCTTTGGTCTCATCTTGCTTTCTAATAGTAAACACCCGCCAATGTAACATGATCAGGCTTTGTTTCATTATTTACTATATCTTCTGCAATTAAAAAATATTTGTGTCGCGAATCTTTGAAATCGATACAATCCATTACAATATGTATATATATGATATATATATATATATATATATATATATATATATATATATATGTATAATACACTTTCATATGTAAGATCATGTTTATTGCTCTTTGATGCACAACAATGGGTGGCGCCTTGATAGCGCCACGCATTTAACAGCTATCTCAGCTGCTCAGTTCTTTGTGTTTAATAATATATTTTATCAAATTATACTGTTATTAAATTTACATATTATAATGTATATTTAATTCAAATATTCTTATTTCAAATTAGCAAATAATTTGCCATAAAAGTTTACAGTAAAATTTATTTTTTCAATTTTCAGTAAAAATTTTTAATATAACATTTGGATTCTCTTATGGTATTTCGTTCATATCTTATATGCGCATCATATATTCCTGGCGAAATTTTGGGGATACTTTATTATTATTAATATGATTGAACTATAATAATTTATTATATTTTATTAATAATATAGTATATAGCTATATTATGTATTTAACTATACATACATTTCTAACAATAATATATTGTAATAGTTCTTAGAACAATTTACACAATTCTAATCTAAATCAGAATATTTTTTGTTTGAGATCTTTTCTGAGTATTTTTCAGATTATGGAATCGTCTATTATATTGCAGTATACAAACATTTTTTCGTCCTTGTCTATCAGTAGTTATTTTTGTGTTATAATTCAGTTTATTTATGATGTCATACAAATCTGTAAATAGAGCTTCACTTTGAAAGTAGTGATATACACTACATTGCTCATAGCTGTCGCTTTCGTTAAACTTCTACTGAACAAATATGTTTGCTTCTTGATTGCACTGCGAATTGATAATGATTTAGTAAAATTTTGGATTGGAAGCTTTTAAACTCAAAAAATTTTTTGTTTCTTTTTTAGCTTTTTAAATAAAATAAAATGTTCACAATGATTTTCTACACCATTTAAAAAATACTACCTGGGAGAACTGCATTCTGCGTTCAGCGTTGCTTTTTATTAATTTCCCGTAGGGTAGTTACAGTAATGTGCCGAAAATCGAAAATGAAGATTTTTGCGTATCTTAACGTTTTGATGGTTTCTGAACAATTTGGCATACCTCAGAAAAAATGGATGTGTGTGTGTGTATATATGTATGGATACAATTTTTTGTCCACATTTTCGGGCGCACGGATCAATCGATTTGGTTCAAAAAACATTCGATTCCTATCGATAGGGAGATGTGCTGATTAGTTTTTGGTAAAGGTAGGTCCAGCCGTTACGGAGATAAAGTTCAAAGAGTGCAGAAAATAGAAATCGAGTTTTTGAGAGAACGGAGCATCCGATTTGAATGACCGTTTGATTTGAAAACATTCAATTTGCCATGATTGGGAGAAGTAGTAATTAGTTTTTGGCAAAGGCAGATCCAGCCATTTCGAAGATACAGAGCTAAATGTACAAAACTGGTAGTTTTGAGAGAACTAAGCGTCCGATTTGAAAGATTCAAAGAACCTTCTGCTTGTTTTAACAAAATAATTGCGTTTGGAAAAAAACAAATTTGTTTCAATTTTTTAAAAAAAATTGTATACATAAAAAAATTCAGATTTTAATTTTAATTCTGACTAAAGTTCTAATACACTATAAACAAATAATTTCAACTTAGCAATTCAGTTTTATAATTCTTATAAAAATTAGACAATGTTACAGTATTTTTTAATACCTATAATTTGATAATAATTCCCCATTGAATGAATGGAAAATTATCAAATTTTGATTTTAATTTCAGGTATAATTATTCTAATATTTTTTATGAATTTAAAATTTATATTTATTTATTGAAATTAAATTACGATTATTATTGAGTATACATTTTTCATTCCTTTCAAACAGATTGGCTATTATATAAGTTTGTATCTAATTTTTTTTTCAAGATTTTTATATTAATATAAAAGGTACATTGTATTAGTTTTTGCATAAATACCTATCTTTCTTAGAAGATAACCAAACATCTACTATTTATTAACTTTAGTACTTTAAACATTTTTTTATTTACATTTAAATTACAATCTGTTTTATAATTAAGACATTTAGTAATTAATCTGAGACTTAATAAAGGTATAATGTTTTTAGAGAACCTCTCATTGGTACGTTTTCTAATTTATGAAAATAGTACTTTAGACATAACTATTACTTTAAATTTATTTATTTATTATTAATTATGTGCAGAAATGTCACGAGAATTATAAACAATATTTCAGAATAAAGCTACATTAGTAATAATTATAGCGTAATGAAGAATATCAGATAAATTAATCATTATTAATTATGTGCGAAAATATCACAAAAACCACAAAAAATATTTAAAAACAACGCAACATTAGTAATAATTTAAGCGCAATGGAGAATATCAGATAAATTGATATTGAAATATTTTGTGTTAGTTTGTAGTTTTTAGATAATTGAAAATTAAAATTCTTTTATAAAACACAGTCGGAATAGTTTAGTTAACATACAATTAGAGTATTATTTATTTAGCAAGCAGTAAATTGATTAATACTTGAATATACAGATGTTTTAGCAATGAAAATTATATGTACGATATTCTCCATATATATACATTAGAATGTGCCCCATTCCCATTTATTAATTTTGAAATTTATAATGACTTATCACCTTCATTGATTAATCGATGCAGGCAATTAATTAGTAGAACATCACGATTTCAAGTATTCGTTGAACCTCAATCTTTGTATCATAAGAATATTAAAAAACTTTAATATGCACATACAATTTTAAACATAAGTACACTATACATACGCACATATACTATACGTATTATGGCAAAACATAAACTAAAATAACACATTCTTGATTATTGTATTACATCTATTAAATGAGTTATCAAATAAGTTAATGTTATTACATAAATGCAAATATATATCTTACGTATTTGAATAACACTAACATTTCGCCATGGGGGTAAATTAAAATTTTTAACAGAATTCGGCTCTATATCGTGAAATCTAAAATTATATAAATGTTTGTCAATGTTTGTAGATCAATTAAAATTTTTAACGTCATACATTCACACATACCTATATGATTAATATAAATTAGCCTATAGTCGATTTCGATTACATGCATGTGGAATGCTTTTCTTATCTTGGACCTAACAATAATTGCTTTTACGATGCAGAAGAATGTTATTAATGCTTATTATTGTTATTATAAAATGTGGCAAATAATTTAACATGCAGTTAACTGTTTAGAATTATTTAGAGCGATAAACTTCTTATGATTTTGAACGTAGTCATTTAGCCTTGATTATGGCGTATTTCGATTCGTAATTTGATTTTTGATTCATTATGTTTAATGACATATATAAATAATGACAATTAAAAATGGTTTCAATAAACAAATTACACATATTGTACCTTTTCTTAAAAAACCTCATTCTGTTAGTTGTAGCACCCATCGCGCAAAATGTAGTAGATCGCTCCACCGTCACGAATCTTGTTCGTACAACTGAAAAGCGTTTTTAACTATAAACGTGAAATGAAGTTCATTGGTTGAATTATTTATTATAATAATATTATATTATTATTTATTATATAAATAAGAGTAATAATGGGCGTTTTTTTATATTTTAAACGAATGATTTGCAAGAAAGTTTACTCATATTTTTTTATTATGATTTTTATCTAAACGATTTTATTATTATGATTACAAATTATATATGCGAAATACCTAAATTTGAATTAAGTAAAGGCATTTTAAAATCATATATCAAGATAATATTTTTTTTATTTAAGAAACTATAAGCTTCGTTTCATAAATGATGATCAAATTACCAGAATGTATGTTTTATACTTACGGATAAATACACATTTTTGTGCATATATTTATATAACAGAATAACTCTTTTATCAGAAGAGCTTAGACCTGTGGTTTCCAACCTGTGGAGCTCCCCTCCTCAGTGGGATGCGAGGCTGTTGCAAGGGGGCGTACAGCTGTTTTCAAAATACTATTTTCGAAAATGAACCAAAAATTTTTACACGATAGAAAAAAATTAACGAATAAATAATTATTTTTTATGTATGTACGTTTTTACTTTATATTTGCATAGTAATTTGTAGTCTGATAATTAAATTATATCAGCTTAAGGGGACGCAACATTTT